TCCTAATATTATTTGTAGGATCACGTTTTATACAAGCAAGAGAGGTATTCTTTTTTCTCAATTATATTGAAAAATTTGTATGTAGCTCTAAGTTTTCTCAATATTTTTATCTAACTGTAACAGGATGTATTTGTTGGTGGAACTGACACCACATCAGCTGTTCTAGAATGGACAATGACAGAGCTCTTAAGACATCCTAAAATAATGACAGAGCTGCAAAACGAGGTGAGGAGTATTCTCAATGGCAAACCGAACATAAATGATAATGACCTGGAGAAAATGCATTTTCTAAAAGCTGTAATCAAGGAGAGTCTTCGCTATCATTCTCCGGTCCCATTTTTGGCACGAATAGCAAGCCAAGACGTTCAAATTATGGGATACAATATAGCAGCTGGGACAATGATCTTAATCAACAGTTGGGCAATCAGTAGAGACCCTGAATCATGGGAGGAACCCGAAAAGTTTCAGCCTGAGAGATTCTTGAATTCCTCTATAGACTTCAGAGGAACAGATTTCCAACTGATTCCATTCGGTGCAGGCAGAAGAGGGTGCCCTGGAATCAGTTTCGCAATGGCAACTATTGAATTTACACTGGCAAATCTTGTCCAAAAATTTGACTGGAAATTGCCCAATGGAGAAAAAGGAGAGGATTTGGACATGACTGAATATCCTGGCGTTACAGTTCGTAGGAAAAAACCACTTCTTGCTGTTGCCACTGAATATTGCTTCAAATGCAGATAAATTATACAATTTGATACAACATTGTTTCACTTTTAAGATTGTAAAGATTCCTGATTTGCCTTTCCTTTGTCTTGAAAATAAGTTGCTAGAGAGGTGCTGACTCAAAACAAAAGATATAAGGTTCTTTTAATGGGACTATCAGGTGTTGTTCTCTCCTGTATTTTCCTTAATTAATCATTGTTTTGTTAAAATTCAATCAAATAGATGCGATTGAATATCTTCACCGACTGAAAAAATCTAGAGATTTACGGGTTTGCTGAATCAGTCTCTCTTTCCCTGTCTAAGGTTTTTTCTTATTTCTAGAATCATCTCCCTTTCTGCCATACTAGAAATTAAGAGTGTGTTTGATAGAATTTATTTTAGAATGATGAGTTATTGAATGTATTATTTTGGAAAATGTGTGGTTAAAAAGTAAAATAACTTTATTGATTTGTATGTAAAATATTTTATTGTTTGAATGTCTGGTGAAGAATGATTCTATAACAAACAATTTAAATTTTTAAAGGATGACAAACAATAGCTAAGTTTACTGCAACGTATGAACTCAAACCATCAAGCAAACAACTGAATTGCTGAACATATTAAAGGTCCGTTTGATTGCAAAGATGGAATTTAAATTGAAAGAAATCGAATTCCAGGGAAAGAAATTGTTTCTTGGGAATTGTAAATTATTATGTTTGATAGGTATAATTTTTCACATGAAAAATATTGAAAAAAAAAAGTTTTTTTGGTATTCTTTTGATTTTGTTTTACATGAAACTTGTTGATTAAAGAAATATAATTTACTGGTATTTGGGACGAAATTTGTTTCCATTGCCAACAAAAAAAAAATTCAAGAAAATTATCTATTTTTTGGTATTCGTTTGACTTTATTTTACATGAAAATTGTTAGTTAAAGGGAAATATCTTTTTACAGTAATTCTTAGAATTTGCTTCAATTGCTAAAAAAAAATAATAAATAAATAAATTAAATAATAATAATAAAGTGCTACGGTAACCGAGAATTCCAATTCTCACTGTTTTGGTGAGAATTGAAATTCTTGAAAAGCAAGCAAAATCTTAGAGGACATGAAAAGCTAGAAAATGAATTCAATGGAAAAATAGAGCCATCAAACAAGCAAAAACATGGAATTGGAATTGGTTTTCCATTTTTCATGGAGAATTTGAACGTATCAAACGCACCCGAAATTGATTGAATTCATTATATCTCTTTAAATGCTCAAGGTTAGGAGCAATCCTCTTCCATAATAGAAAGGATTTTGTTTCTTATGGAAGCAGCTCCTCAATTGCATAGAAACTAGAAAATTGTACTTTTGCCTTTATCGCCAAAGTTTGACACGAACATCGAAGAATGATTTTACACAAAATGAGGCATTTACTTGTAAAATTAGAGGAAGTAAGATAATAATTTCTTGTATCAAAAATAATTTATAGCCTTTTGATATGGCCATTCGTCTAGAGAAATATAATGAAAATTTGACCATTATAATGGAGTTGAACGAGTATGAAAGAATACAACAATCAAAGAGGGGATACGACTCTTAGGAGGAAAGTAACTCAAATGGCATAAATATTTTCCAAAGTAACTCAAATGGCATAAATATTTTCCAAAAGCTTCTTAAGCCCCTATTTCATGGATATTAAAATCATATTTTGATAAAAGTTAATAAAATATGTGGAAAAGTAGGTTTCATGGAATATGTAGTTAATATTAATTATTAACTTTGATTTTGATAAAAATTCAGATTATAATTTCTATAAAAGGGACTAAATTAGAAGATAACCATAAAAATTTTAATTTGATCCAAATTTTATTTAGTCCTTTTCTTTCTCATAAATGAAGTTACAATTTTTTCATTTACAATTAACTTTCCCCAATAGATTTGTCTATAAATTGGGAAGTGATATTCAAACTAACATCTTACAAGTATAAATATTTTTGTTAATATTAATACATTAGTTCTTAGCAATATTTAAGTTTATTAAGCAATGATCTCCGCCAAAGTCAATAAGAGAGGGAGATAGATCATCGACGGAGGGAAAAGTAGATGGGTTTTTCAATATTTTAATGTGTGGAAAAATTAGTTGTGTAATGACTTACAAAATAAAACTCGATCAAAATAAGAATTGAACTCTTTCTATTTAAGACAAAATTATCCTTTATTAATGATGACATTTTGCCTCCATAGATCTCCTAAGATATATAGATTACTTCTCGCAAGAATAGCACTTCAAAATTAGAAAAGAATGAACCAAATAATGTTTTGGACTCTCTTTACGGGCTCAAATGGAGACTTCAGAATTTATTTGGACTAATACGGTAAGTGCAATAAGCGAAGGGTGTAATATGCAAGCAAAAAAATTATATGGAATGTAGAATACTGCAAATGAAGGTGTCACTCTCTGCAAATGGAGAACGTGTTGATCCTGGACGGAGATCAGAGCTTTTTCAGGCGATCGATTTCAGCTGTAAAATAACTGATACTGGCTGTCAGGGAGAACATCTTGATCCAGGATGGAGATCAGAGCTTCATCAGGCGATTGAATTTGGCAGTCCAAAATCTGATAGTAGATCACAGGAATCAAAATTTAGGGCGGGAATATCAATTGGAGAAATTACTAGAAGAAATTGATGCGATTACGAAAAAGGTGATGAAGATGAAATCCGGCCCAAACGATCTGCTACTGAAGAATTTGTTGGAATTAATTGAATTTGATTTGAGTTTGTTTTGGGTTTAAAATATTAAATGTAATATTTAATAATATGGGCCATTGCAATTAATTTGAGTGAATTGGAAAAGTCTCCAATATAGGCCCATATGTTGATAAGCCCATTTTAAGTGGTTTCTATATGGAAAGGAGTCCCACATCGAAAGTTTATAAGAAAATAATCTTGTTTATATAGTGGGTTGTGTAAATAATATATAATTTAATATGTTACCTACCACTTGGCTAACTTTAGCTAGCCAAAGGCTAGTCAGCACTAGAGTGGTGCTTCGAACCACTATCACCGTTCCCCGGACCCGGTCTCGATCCCGGTCCCGGCACGCGCACGTCGCAAAGTACGCATTGGGCGCTTTAGAGGCGCACTTGGCACTTGATTTCAATTGATTTCTAAATTCTTCTATCTCCATATTCTGCTCGTAAAAAAAAATCTCTTATACTTCCGTCGTTATTCCGTTCAAGTACGATCATTCATTGGTTCGACCGACAAGGTTGGTATTGTGCAGTATCGACTTTGGAAGGAGCATTGTATCTTGGGAGACAGACGTCCATAATCCCGTTTGCACTTCATTGGGGGGCGAAATCTGTCTTAAGGAGATTTGCTTACTTTATTGGCATACCTCGCTTCATTTACTGTCTATTTTTCTGCTTATTTTATTTCTTCTTTTAATTGCTTTAGTCGAATTTTCGACAACAGAATTCTGTGCCTGATGATTATTTAAGAGCTGCTTGCAGTGGCAAGAGAACTTTGATCGGATTCGAAAATGACTTGAGGCAAATAAAGGATAACCTCACAGGATCATCGTCTAAACTGAAAGTTGTCTCAATTGTTGGGATGGGCGGCATTGGAAAGACAACTCTTACTACGAATGTCTATGATGATCCCCTTATTGCATACCACTTTGACACTCGTTCTTGGGCTACAGTGTCTGCACAGTATCACGTGAAAGACATTCTAAATTCTATGATGGTGTCCACTGATAAAATTAGTCGAAAAAGCACTGAAGAATTAGAAGACCTCTTATGCAAAAACCTTAAAGGGATTGAGGTATCTCATTTTAATGGACGATGTCTGGGAAAGTCGGGTCTGGGATTGTGCTAAAAGATTGTTTCCTGATGATAATAATGGCAGTCGAATCATGTTGACTACTAGGCTGTTACATGTGGCTGTATATCACGAAAATTGTAGCTCCCTTCATCAATTACCCTTTTTAAATGAAAATGAAAGCTGGAATCTACTTCAAGAGAAGGTTTTTGATAGAGAATATTGCCCTTCCGAATTGGAGAAAGCTGGGCATAAGATTGCGCAAAATTGTCAAGGCCTTCCCCTAGCAATTGTCATAATTGCAGGTCTCCTCTCCAAGGTCAAGAAGGTAAAATATTGGGAGAATGTTGCAGAAAATGTAAGTTCCATAGTAACAAAAAATGAGGAGAAATTCAAGGAGATATTAGCTTTGAGTTATAGCCGCCTCATCACTTGAAAGCATGTTTCCTCTATATGGGAGTTCTTTCAGAAGATTCTAAGATCCGTGTCACCAAACTTATCAACTTATGTGTTGGGGATCCTAGGAGTTCAATCAACCAAAACAACAATCAACAACCAAGATTCAAGGCAAATACAAGAAAATAAAACCGGAAGAATACAACCCCTTTTTGGCCGAAATCTGTCCAGCTTCTTCTTCTTCCTTGCAGCTGCTTCTTCACCTCTTATGGCAGTTTTCCAGGCTCAGGAATAGCCCCATGCTATGCGAATTGCCTTCCAAAGAGAGAGGGGAAAAACCAATGAAGAACCACCACCCTTTGCTATGAAAAACCGAGAGCTCCTCTCTACTGCCGGGAGAAAAAGAAACCGAGAGCTGCTTCACCTTTTGAAAATGGTAGAGAGTACATATGAAGGGGAAGGAAGGAAGAGACCATGCCTCTGCCAAAACGTGGGAAGACCTTATTGTGTCAACCTCAATCCTATCAAGTCACAGCATTGGGTGGGTTAGGTGAACCATATCCTCACATTCTTCACCTTGGTTCTCCTAACACTCTCTCTTGGTTGCGAATTTGCACATGGAAGAACTGTTCATCATCATCGCCCACCACCTGCAAGAAAATTAACCAGTGTCAATGTGTAATAAAGATAAGCACAATCTAAATTTACTTGCAGGTAGAATTTTTGTTCCCATATCAGAGAGATTCCTATCAGTGTGAATTTTAACAAGATTAACTTCACCTTGAGACAGTTTCTCACGTATAAAATGATACTTTACCTCAATATGTTTAGTTCTTTCATGGTAAACAAGATTTTTACAAAGCAATAAAGCACTTTGACTATCAGTAAACATAACAGGTGTATCATGCATGAAGTTCAATTCTTTTAAAATTCCTTTTAACCAAGTACATTCTTTAGCCGCCTCAGTTATGGCAACATATTCTGCCTCAGTACTTGACAAAGTAACTAAAGGCTGCAGCTGTGACTTCCATGTTATACAATTGTCACCTAGTGTAAAAAAGTACGCTGTGGTAGACTTTCTGCTATCCTTGTCACCAGCAAAATCAGAGTCTAC